AAATATGAGGATGGTTAGAATTTAAACTTTTATTGAAATAGGAATGAAATGATTCACAGGCATTAGTCGTTCTATTCAAATCTGCTGTAGCAGCTGCCCATATATTTGGAGGAAAAGATGCGTCATTACGTATATAATTATTTAATAAATAATATGAAAATTGTGTTAATCTATGGTCTTAATTAGCTTGGAACTCAATAAAAATACTTCAAAGTAATCAAAAACTAACTCGGGCTCTAAAAACACTAATCCGAAACATTTAATTAGGTATCCAATTTCTAATACTCGAGTCTTCGATTTTATATTCTACACTTAATCCTACTGTTTGAACATACTTATACSACGATTGTAATAAATGAAAGCGACTACCATAAATTTGAATATTTGGCCAGATGGATTTACATGCGTTGTGTATAGCTTTTTCGAAGTCAATGACAACCTACTTTGGCTCAAATAAGTAATTATCGTGAATACAAAGATCAACTATTAATTTAAAACATTGGAAATATATATTTTGAGTTTTTGTTTTTCATAAACAAAAAACAGACTGTATATAATGGCCATTAAAATAGCCATGTATAGTAAATAGCTGTAAAAAAAGTTTAGAACTATATTCAAATGTACCATCCATGTAAATCCATTCTGCAATTCATTCTTAGATTTGTTTTGCACCCAAAAATTATGATACCATTTTCTTTGTCATTGCTAAGTAAAAAATTTTCATCTCGATTGGTCGTGACCTGTATATTATTCAGCATATTCTGAACTTTATTCAGCATATTCCTTCACTATGGCTATGATCAACATTTTGTTCAGCGATGTTCATAGTTGTTTTACCAAAGGTTTTCACAAAAGCTTTACAAGTTTTAATTATACATCGCCATTTTGTTAAACCAGAAGCCAAAGGTCTATTATTTACTTTCGAAAATKTAAAATAATTTAATACTAACAATTTATTTCCACATTCCGATTCAATAAATTGAGCTGCCATTATACGTGCGTATAAGACTCAAAACGAAACTKAAGTGATCAAACAATTTATATTTTATAATACTTCTATCTGACATTTCCAATTATTATATCCACAATATTGTAGTCAAAGCTGATAAGATATGACATGATTGACGATTGTCGTCYGATACAATTGTTCAGTGTACTACATAAATTTAGAACTTCCAAAATTCCTTTTTAGCTCCGTTAGTTTAAAATTTATAGAGGATTGACCTCTTACACAAATTAAAAGTAACATTATTATCTAGATTTTCACATAGGCTTCTTATTATATTTTAATTAACGATGTATGAGTATTTTTTAAATTGTAAATTGTTTGTAAATCTTAAAATATTCATAACTTGCTTTCAAATTAAAATATGATATAAAGCCTATGTGTAAACCTAGATGATAATGTTACCTTAAATTTGTATAAGAGGTCAATCTACTCTAAATTTTAAACTAACGGTACTAAACGGGAACAGATTAGCGTAAGATTTGTTATGTTACGCACTTATGACTTTATGAGACGGAGATAGCACAGCGAGTGTGCCAGTGTGACTATAATTTGAACAAACGCTCTATTTATTCGTTTATTTATTTTTTCAGTCATACATAAAAAGCTTTACAGAAGCACTTCGCATCGAGTAYGAAGAAGACAATATAACAGTACAACATCTTTTCCCGTTATTTGTCAACACAAAAATGAATGCTTTCAGCTACAGATTACAAGAGACGACTCTATTCGTACCCGATGCAAAGACGTA